GTCAGGGGTTTTTTTTCCTTCTGTATGGCAATTCTATTTCAGTCTGTCAATACATGGAAATATTAAATGATATACAAGTAATCAAGTGGTTCATTTCCATATTTTGTGCAATTCACACATTAACAACAAGAAGAAACACATGCAGTGTATGCTCTCTAACTATGCCAATAGCATTTTGGAGTGATGCTTTTGCATATCTAACCAGAAGGAATATATCACTTCATCTCATGTACTCTTATGCATTCTGGCAATGAATAAATGAAGTTAATAGCAAGTTAAGGAACCCTGCCATTCTATATTATAGAAGCTGCTTCCTTTATATAACAATATAAAATTGTCTGTGTTTCAGAATGTTGTACTTAGCTTTGCAAATTGGGCTGTTATCTACAACTGCACAGCCCCTTTTGATCCCTTCATGGATGAATGAGGAGATTTGATCTATTGAATTTTCCCGGGTGTTTTACAAATTAAAATTCTAAAGGGACTTCTTCTGAAAAAGTGTGGCTAAATGAATTGCATTCATTCCTGATACATAGGTAGGATTGCCAGATGGGAAAATGTGCTAATGTTTTCTAGCTTGCAAACTGCAAGTCACTTTAACTCTCATATGAAGCTTTGGGATAAAACCTTGAGTTATGGGAACTTATGTAAAGCTCGTATAGAGATGAATGATATGCACAAAAAATATGTCAACCGATGAAATGATGACAACTCTAATATAAAGACTGAATATTCCAAATTATTTTTTCTTAGTTACAGAAACTACTGGATATGGGAATCCTTTAATATTTATTGTTCTATTTTAGTCCTTCTATTACAAAAGAAATGTAATCAACTGGTGTGTATATGCTTCTACATTAGTAATCATATTAACACAGATTGGTTAGATTCTGTAAAATTTATAAACAAGTTGATAAATGGATCTGTCATTCTCCTATGTCTTTGCCCTTTTGGAGATGACTAAATTAAAATGGATTACATGGTTTGATTTTCATGGAAGTTTAGTCCATGCATGACAGTTTTAGAATCACATACTTCCATGACTGATGGAGCTTTTGAGTTACTTGTTGATTATGCCCTTGGTAGAATTCTACAGAATATTCTGTATTTCTTGTGAGAAGTGAACAGAAAAAATGACACAGAGAGTTCCATTGAGGCTGACATTAAACTAACAAATGCATGCAATCATACCTCTTCTGTATCAGGAGGGGGTGAGAAAAAATTCAAAATTGCCCTGCCTTAACTCTCTTAAGTATAAGAGGGCAGGGGGGGGATAAAACCCCAAACCTCTGTCAGGCTTTCAAGATTTTACAGCCTACATCAATCAGGTTTTAGTGTTAGCAACAAACAGTGTATGACTGATGAGAAGAGCCATAATCTTGTTTCTACAGCATGAGTTTTACCATAAATTTTGGTTTTAACATATTTTAATTAATATTTATTTATTTATTTATTTTAATTAATGTTTATTCTGTTTTTACTGTAAACTGCCCAGAGTCACTCCACAGTGAGATGGGCGGTGACAAATTTGAAAAATACATACATACATACATACATATATACATACTTGTAGTGTCTGTTTTCTGACTTGGTCTACCTCAAAGAGCTGGCATATATTAAGCATGGGGCAATGCACAGTGTATGACTGTTGAGAAGAACCATTATCTTGTTTCTACAGCATGAATTTTATCATAATATTTGTTTAATATTCCAAGATAGCTTAGAAGAGTTTAAAAATACAATATTGTTTAATCAATAATAAAAAGTAAAAACTTTTTTTAGAAAAACAATCAGCTTTGAAAACAAAAGTAATCTTTGTTCCAGGCCAATTCAAATGCCTTTTATTTGCTTTTGGCAATCTATATATATCTATATAGCAAATATATATTGCCTATAGTAACATGGACCAGCAATCCTGTTAAAGATCAATTTATATAACGTTCTATGATCACTATGCTAAATTTCTTTTGAAGGTCATCATTTACAGTCTTGGTTGCAGAGAGGAAGAAATGATAGGACACAGTGGAACTGCACTGAATTTTGCTAAGTCTTGTTTATAACATTTGGGGGAAAATTGAATCATTATTAAGTTTACCCTCAAACAAGGATTTATATTTTCTGAATGAATTCTAATACCCACTACAATTCAAAGGTAATATTATTATCTTTGATAAGGATGTTAGTTGTAAAGCACATGTTTTGCACACAGAAAGTGATGGCTTCATTCTCTGGCATCTGCAGGAAGGTCTAGGAAACACTGTTGTCTCTAATCTTAAAGAACGTTATCAATCGGAATTGAATGAACTGGCCCAGATGGACCAATAGCCTGTCATGATAAGACAGCTTCATTTGTAACATAGAGTAATTATTCTGTCATATGTGCAAGACTACAATAGTATTTGAACCAAAATCTATAGAATATAAATCTGGCACTTTAGCTGGTAGGTCCGTCTAACAGCTATTTAACCTCAGTGAGCAAATGTATGCCACAAAAGTATTCTATTTCCAAATAGAAACCAAGGACTGATTCCAATATTATGTGTGAACTTTTACTATCACAACAGGACGTTTCCTACTGCCCGTATAACCTGCATATACACCACATATATTCCAAAGTCCTAGCTCTTTCCCTGTTAACTGTGCACAAGCAGTCAGTTTTTAATATAAACTTTTAACATATAAGCTGGTTTGGCTCCTGAGTTGGATAAGTGCTGTTTTATTGCACTCATAACTGTATTCATGATTGTGGGAGTTATTTTGAAATCTAGAGTCTATCAGGGCAGGAATGCCAGTTAGGTCAACAAGCAATTGCCACTTAGCAGAAAGGCTGAGAGCAACAAGCATAAGGGTCCATTAAGTTGTGAGAACATTTGGAAAAAGAAACACCAGATTTTAACTGCAGTTAGTATAGGAGGTACTACATTCTCATATTGACAGAGAGCAAAGAACTGCTTAAAGTGACTTCATTCTAATACAAAAGATTCTTATCTAATTGTGCTACATCAAGTGTCATCATAGTTTTTGCCAAGTTTAAGCTGGAGTAAGCTGACCTTAATGGTGTTTTAAATATGAATGGTATTTTAAATAAGT